CAGCCGGGGCAGCCCGTAGGCCTGGCGGAGGCCCGGCCGTCGACGTGCCCGGCGCCGTCCTGGGGTTGTCACGCTGCCCCCGGGGCTTTCACGGCCCTGTCCGGGGCAAAAGCTCCAGGAGGCCCGGAGAGATGAGGTTAGGTGTTAGTAAAGTTCGATACGTGCACGGCGGGAGGGGCATCTGCAGAGGGCATTAGTTGAGCTTATTGTGAACCGTTTTCTGTGTCGTAATGCTGGGGACATGGTGTCCCAAGTTGACAATAAAATGTAGTACGGGTACCTGAAAGCATGATGGTGAAATGTCACAGTGTTGGATCACGTTCCTGGCTTTTTGAAAACTTCTGTCTCAATTAGAAGCACTGAAGGAAAAGGCCTTTCAGGTGTTGTGTTGTCCCTTTCTGGAATGGCTATCGAATTTTTTTTGTCATGCTCAGCCTTAACTATAAGGCTTCAAACATGCCTTTAGCACTAATTTAGTTACCTAGTGATAGATTAGTCTGTGTGGAGCTAAACAAATAAAAACACTTGAGAAGTAATCAGGTTGTCTATACAGAGTTCATCTTTTGCTTATTTCAGCTGGAGAACTTGCTGTTGAGACTGTCAGCTGGACTTCACATTTGCTTTACCCTGCAGATCTCTTGACAAGAGAGTCTTTAGTGAAACTGAAAGGCTTTGTTTTCTACAGGGAAGGAAAATACTGAGTATTGATGTTTTTCCTCAGTGCAAGAAAGGTTATAATCTGTTTGGGTTGACGAAAAGCCAGTAAAAGACAAACGATTCTCATTGTCAAGTAGGTTGTATGATCATGTGCCGAAATCAGTCTTAAGTTTTTGGAAAAAGTGATAATAGGCTTTTTTGGGGGTTTAAATTAATAGCCAAATGTGCATGCAGAATATTTGTACAAATTTCTACTACTTCATGACTTTTAATCTAAAACGAAACTTCTGTAATTCCTTTAAAAATGAGGATGTTGCTTTATATGAAATAAAACTTCTTCAACTTAAAAGTACTTACAGTTCCTCTTAGGTTGCTCATGAGAACAAAGAGGAATGCTACTTGGCCATAAATGGGAAGTTTTCATCAGACAAAATGTCCTCCTGTGTCTAGCGTTTTCTTTTATGTTTACCTTGTGTATTAGCCTTTCTTCAGTGCTTTGTCCAATAAGTATCTTAATGAGCCTGGTTTTGGACAGCTGAAAACAAACCTATTAATATTTTCTGCTCTAAATCTTTGTTTCTCTTTTGTTTTCTTCAGTGTCATAGCTTTTTGGTAGTTGGGGTTCTTATGGTTGAGATACTTCTCGGAACGATGTTTTCAGCAGATAACAGATTGCTGTTTTTCATTAATTTCTGTCAGTGCCTATCTCTTCCTGACATTACAAGTTGCTATACTTGTCTAACTAGAGGTATGTCTGGGGCCGTGTTCAGAGGCCCACTCAAAAAAGTTTGAGAATTTTTTAAGAACTTAGTTTCCATCAGCTGAGATGCAATAACTAACCATTGGAATTCTACTGGTTTATGCCATTTCATCTGGAAATGAGTTAAAACACTTTCTATCACTTGAATGTTGTTACATGTCTCATTGTTCTTAATTTCTCTGTCTACTCAGATATCCTTGAAAATCCCTCTTTCACTAGTGTGAAACTGATAATATTGTAGGTGATGTTATTTTTTGGCGCTCAGCTTCTAGAAAGAAATGTGACATGGTAGAATAAGAGTTAAGCCTAATCTTTCAGTTGGAGCTGTTTGACTCGCCAACAAGCTGTGTGAATTGCGTAATGTAAGGTTAGTTTTCTAGCTCTTGTGGGATACTTCTGTGCAGTAGTCTACATATGGAGTAAATCCAACGTATGCTTTTCTGTCCAGTTTGGGAGGAAAAGAGAATTTGCTTCCTGTGAAACTGTGAATGGAGTTCTGAAGAAGCTAAGTTGCCAAAACAGCATTTACTATGACTTTATTTGAGATAATGACAGATACAGACCATCAACCATTTGCTATGACTATTAAAATTAAATGTGTTGCAACTGTAAGAATGATAACAGTCAGGCAAAATATGCAGGTACATAGGTCCATGAGTAGATGAAGATTAGATTCCTGTGGATTAATGTCTCCGGGTTGAGTTTCTGATCCCTAATAAGGCTGATCTTGTGCTTAATTCTTAGTATGGCCATTAATATGGTCTCCTCTTTAATTGGTATCTTAAAGATATTTTCACAAAATGCTTTGAAACTGAAAAACTTTGTTAAGCTTGGAGGAAACTGATCACTGAATCAGTTGCTTACTGGGTTTTGAGTGATTGAGCTGCTTGTCATGCTTTTGGTAAGATCAGAAAGAGATGTTTTAGCCCAGAGAACTGAAACTGCAGTTATAGAAGGAATTCAAAATTACTCTAGAACAAGTGATGCCAAACTTGGTTGAGACAAGTCTCCTTTCATGCTTATTGGTGATACCTGTGGTCTGTGTGTTGGAATATTGATCTTGCTTATGTCTGTATGAGGTTCTAGTAAAGATCAAGGGGAAAACACAGCTTGATGTAGTAATGTGCAGGACCGAGTAAGTTGTTTGTTTGGGGTTTTTTTGTACTGAATTTTGGTAAAAAAATCAGTATTATTCCATGTTGTTATTTCTACTAGTGTTTTATTTCTTTTATTTTTCTCTGTCTGAAAATATCCCATATTTCCTGCTTCTCAGCCTCATTTGAACTTCATTTCAGCTGACTAGAGTGAGAGGCACTGGAATAGTGAATTCTGATACTGGCAGTAAAAATGTGCTTTAGTGAGATAAGGGGAGGGTAGATGAGATAAATTCATTGCTTCAGAAAATGTGAAGAATATTGGTGTACTTAAGCGCAGACTAAGTACGTTGATTTACTCTCCTGTTTAATCAGTTACTATGTGACTTTACTATACTGGTCATAGCAGTCTGTAGCTTTTAATAATTTCTTTTTCCATGTCTGGCAATTGTTATCCTATTTTCTCTTCTGTACCTTGCCATTCTTAAGGCTCAGCAATCTCTCCATTCTTTCCTCAGAAGCTGTATTTCTTCTGCTGCAAGTAATTTTTGAATTCTAGTCAAGTGAATTGTCCCACCATCAGCATAGTAATCTGGGTTATGTTGAATTAACATTGCATAAAAGAAATATTTCACAATTTAGAAAATTACTCTTATTTTTAGATCTTGTATGGTGTTAGCTTTTTCTTTCTAGAACATGACATTGTTGATGAATATTGAGACATTGCTTTTTTTTTACAGATCTTTTGTTGGAAACTTAAAATTGTTTGTTTTCATTTTTTCCACATATTTAAATTAAGTTGATTTGTCTTGGCCACAGTTTTCTTTTCTTTCTCTTCTTTTTAAGACACTGCATTTGCTTTCTTCCATAATATCTCCAGTTCTCCTTGAATCATTAAGATACTGGTTCCTAGACTTGCTTCAGTTAGTTACTTGGGGTTATGTGTCTTAATTGGCCCTGGCTAATCTGAATATAGCTTAGCAAGTAGTATGAGGGGAAAGGGGAATGGTCCTGCAGACCAGAACAGTTGATAAAGCCCTGATGTCTCCACTGTATGTTTTGGGGGGGGAGAATTTGCTTTGGGCTATGGTCTTATTCTGGGTACTGAACACTTAGAAGTAGCGAGAGTGCATCTTTTGATTTAGTTCTCTCCTAATGGGCTCTGCCTCTTGCATCTTGGCATTGCTTCATGGTGTAAACAAACATAATAGCTGAGGAGCAATTGGGAGATCTGCTTCAAAAGTACATCTTGTTCACCTGAACGGGAAAGGCTAATGTAAATGTAGTCTGAGTCTCTGAAGTTGCTTTGGGAATATTGTGCAAGTTGGAGACTGTTCAGTTACAATCAGGTTCTAACATTCATTACTTTTTCTGGTCTTTCTGCCTAGGTTTCAAGATACTAATGGCAGATTCATCCAGTGATTCAGACAACTTTCTTAGGGGTCGAATAGGAAGGCGGCCACCTTTGAGAGCATCCCACTACAGAGGTCGTAACTATGGTGCTGAAGAAGTTACAGAGAAGATCCATACTTTAGCAAGCACTTTACAGGTGGTTTACAAACATGGTTTTAAAGTATTTATAGAGTCTGTGTTTCTGTAACATAGGGTCAAATTTTAATTTCTGAAGTTGTCGAAAATACTGTACTGATGGGAAACATTGCTTTCTGTGCAAACCAAAAAGGTTTTTGGAAATTGATCATATTATCTTTGAGCTGAAAGTGTGTGGCTTGTTACACTTTTATACAGCCCTTGTTTCATACAGTAATGGAATGTTGTTAGAAACAATGACATGTTTGGTAATACTGTCTATGAAGTTAGCAAACTGAATGATGTCAAAAACTGTCAGATTCTCACAAAAGGCATTCGATTTCGTAGCAGAAAGTTCCTGACTCATCTTTCTTGTCTTGTACTGTGTATAATTTCCAAATTCCTGAGAGATATGTAGGCAGTCCATTCCCTCATGACAGAGCTTACAAGTCAAATATTTTCTAGATGTGGAACAGCACAGTGAGAAGCAGTGTTGATAAACTTGTAAGACATCCATACCTAAGCAGGCAAAAGTGTTCATTTAATTCCTGCTTCTTCAGTGGAGGCAGTGGAGGAAATCTCTGAATCTGTTTTGCAAGTGGAAGGAGACATTTAGCTATCTTGACGTCATTTATTGTCTTCTCTAGCTGACAATACTGACTACCTAGAGAGGGTTGCCTTATGTATTATCACTTGTGTTGAAGTATTGTTTGGCTGGCAATATATCTTATTCTTTTAATATGTGAGAAGAGAAAAATCTGTATAGAATGCTGAATTTAACCTTCAAAACTTCTTAGCTGGAAAATAATCATCAAGCTAGAAAAGAGATGAGTTAATAAGAATGTAATCTGACTATTTTTTGAAAGGCACTCTTTGGTATTGTCCTGTTTCTGTCTAACCTCTTTCTAGCTGCTCTTCTGAAATTCTGATTTTAAGCTACTTGCTTTTGTGGACTGGTTTTCAGCAGATCTGCCATCTGATCCAGCTCTTCATCTGGTCAGAGAGTGCTCATGCAGAGATCTTACCTAATGTGTTGGTCTTCAAAAATTTGTTATTTCTCAGTTAATTCTGTTTTACTGGCAGGTAACATTAAGATCTTTGGATTAAAAAGGTTTTTCTACAGAATGGCTGAAACTTATGAAACTTTTTCTTTGAACCTGAGGCCTTACTGTAGTAAAAGTAAATGATAGCATGTTTTTTTTTTGTTTCAGTTGAGTTTTTCTTGTTCTCTTTAGTTGTACTGTACATATTCAGATTCTAGTTACCTGAATAGGATTTTGAATGCTTAGACCCTTTAAAAAGCACTTGTGTTACCAGCTTACTCTTATAAACCAAGAATAATAAAAACAACACTAATGTTTGATTAGAGGAGGTTTGTTTTGACTTTTTTTCCTCAAACTTTTTTTTTAAGGATACCAACAGAAATCTAAGACATGTTGACCATTTACTAGGACAATACAGAGAATACAACAAGGAACAAACCGAAGCAATAGCAACTGTGAGCAACTTTCAGTTTATCTTAACTTCTTAAATCTTTTCTGCTAATAGCATTAATAGCTGAAAACTTGGTCACAATAAATAGAATATATCAAGAGTTAAGTAGTTATAAACAGAAACTTTTCATATTTATTTGAGCAATCTAAATCAAACTATAGTACTATATCATGTTATATAAGGAAACTCTGGCAGGTTTTATAGCTTCATTACTTTTCTGGTTTATAAGCACCAAATAGATTGTTATGTTATGATACTATGCCAAGTACAAGGTGGATAGCTGAAACAGGGTATTGGGGAGCATGTTTCTTTTGTGTGAATAAGTGATAAAAGATGAATTACAGCAGGGAATGACATTGTGATCATACTGGTGTTAAGTTTTTTTCCTGTCATTCTACAACAGCTTCTGAATCTGTTGACCACCTTTCTCTAAATTGCAGAAGGGCTGAAATTCTCGTAAATATCAAGCTTCTACAAGTTTGAAAACAGGTGTCTAGACAGAAAAAGTAATACAAGTTGGTGCTTGTAGGGCAAGAGAGCTTTATAACTTGGTTACAAACAAAATGCAGCAGGTGCTGCCTTGAAATAGATACATATGAGATGTAGGAATATTTTGCATGTGAGGGTAGAGAGAAAGAGGGGGGAAAAAAGCGAACTGTAGAAAAGAAGGCTTGTTTTCTCCACACTGCTTGCTTTCTAAGTCAGTATGCACAAGCTGTGCATGGAAGTGATTTGGGATGTTATATGCCCCGTAATAATTTTCTTCTGTTTGAATGCTGTTTGTGTCTTTATAAGCTCTACTTAGGTTTTGAATTTGTGGAATTTCTGGTGGGCATTGAAACCATTTAAGGTTGTCTGTTTTTAACAAATGCTGATACTAACTGTAGTTCAACATCATTATTCTGGAAAGATTTTCTATTAGGAAAGGTGAGTGAGACATCAGTCAAATTTAGTTTTGACTTAATGTCTGTTCTTCTTAGTCATGCTAGGTGGCTTTTGATTATGGCTTAAATGGAGGAGAAAAGTAGAGACTCTAACCATCTCATTCCAATAGCGTAAAATCAGTCTTATTAGTAAAGATAGCGTGTTTCTCTGAGTTCCTGTTCCCTTTCTGAAGGAGAAGTTTTGACTTGCATAAAATAGATGTTGCATGTATTTGGTATGTGGGAAGCAGCAGCTGGGATCAGAAAGTAGTGAATCTATAATAAATATTTAAGAAAAAACTTGAATAAATTTCTCATTTGGATAGTGATGTGTTGGTTGTTTTTTTTTAAAAGTTATAGTTGGTCAAGCATTTCTACCATACTAGACAAGATTGCTTATCTAAGAATATTTTGCTCCAAATGGGATATGTCTTTAGGTTCTGTCAGTTCTGCTGAATATTGTAATGTGTTGCTCTTGAATTCTTTGACGTTTTCCTTAAAAAAGACTTTCTTCAGACCGTTGTATAGCGTATTTGCATTTATGAATTGGTGACTGTTGGGCTGGTGAGGAGCTGTTTTCCACTCTAATTTATAAAGTAGTCTCACTACTTCACTTTGAGGTGCCAGCTGTCTGCCTGTGAATCAATGCAAAACTTGCTATGTAACTTACGGGGTCAGGAAGGTTTGTGGCTCAGAACTTTATTTCGTTGTTGCTATTGTGAATTCTCTAGTGGTGGGAACATTGTACTCGGCATATGTACTTTGTTCCAGAGCAATATTATTCTCCTGCTGACTTCTCTGTTGGTCTGTGATTTCATTATGTCCCCGGAGAACAAAAATAGTAGAAAAAAGGTTCCCTTCTGCTTTTTGGGGTTGGGAGGAGGTAGAGAGAGGTAGAAGAGACTGTTGTAGGGTGATATTTTTGCTAATGTGAGGCTTTGGAGAGGTTTAAAAGTAATTAGCCTTTGAGAGAGATCTGTTGATTTTTTTTTTTAATCTTATTTTTTTCTGATAGCACTGATGTTTGTCTAAATAAATTATAATCCCCTCCCCAAACAACAAATTGAAAGAACAAATAGGGAAAGGACCAAAATGTTAGGCACTGTTTTGATGGGATTTAAACATCTTATAGATGAGATGTTGAGGAATGAAATTCAGATTGAATAGAATATCCTTAATATTCACCAAAGTTGTGGTTTTTAATATCTCTATTCTACTGTCACTAGCCTCTCTTCATTCTTTTAATAATTAAATTGTTTTTTAATAGAACAGAAATACCTTAAAATCTAATAATGTTGATAATGTAAGTTATAACTAAACATTTTTAAACAAGTTTTTGGCCATTGTTCTGTTCTAAAAAAAAATCTCGAAGAGTAAGGTTGTTAATTCTGGACACTGTCATGTTCCTTTTTTTTAAAAAAATAAAAATAATAAAATCCAGCTGTCTGGTTTCATGTAGAAAGGATGAAAATGAGTGCTGTAAAGCTAAAACATGCAAACTGAGCACCTATAGCTTAATTCAGAGTTTTTATTGCCCTATAAAGATGCAAGATAAGTCTTTGACAGAGTCAAATTAGATTTGAAAATTGAATAATTGATGATCTTTAATCCTCTGGCATTTTAATGAATTTTTAAAAAAGTTTTAGCTTTTTGAATACAAAAGTGACCTTTTGTTACATACATGCTTTGTTGTATCTTTTTCCCTCAAGTAGCCTCTGTCGTCTTGAGAAAGCATTAGAAAATCCTTAAGGCTTTTGGTTTGAGAGTTTCTTAGTGGTAATGAAGTTATTTTAATAATACCATATAATGAAAACTTAAAAAGAGTACTTTAAAAGGAACGTAAAAGAGCATTGAAAGATTCAGAAAAGATTTAAAGTAGTGTTTTATGTTTTGGGGAAAAAAGTGCTGCCCAGAGAGAGATCCAACACAGTGTGTGTAATTCTGCAAGAATAAAGCAGCAATTTAACCATTTGTGTACAAGCCTCTCTTAGGGAGAGGATAGGTGAACCTTTAGAAATTGATGGTTTATCGATTGTCAAATAAAGCAAGTGGCTAAGAACCAAAGTTAGCAAATGCAATCTTAGAAAATAAGATGCAAGATTGAAAAATGAGGAACTTATTTAGGAATATAGTTAGTTCTGAACTCTTAAGTTGGGAATGGCTGCCTTTTTCTGGAAGTGTAACAACTAAAAGTAGGGCTTGACACCAAACTGCTTAGTGAAATTTGATAGCCGTATGTCATATTGATTCCACGTAGGGCTGGTAAAAAAAGTTCAAATTTAAAAAAACTTCTTTGAAATTGTTTTCTGGAATTTGCAGGGCTGCTACTGAGCCTTGCTGGCAAATGGGTCTTATTTTGGTTGTAGGAGACATACTTTTCTTTTAAGTTTTCCTGGTTTGTTGCACCACTGTTTTAAGAAACTTGATATTTGAAGCTGCCAATGTTGGAAACATGTTTTGCTAGAATTATGGGGATATGACATATGAGATATTGAAGAAAAACTGTTATTAATTCATAGCTATACTTGGCTTAAAAGAAGTTTTGATTCTCTTAACGACTTTTTTTGGAAAATATTTTACATGTGTTTTTTTAATCAGTCTGTGTTCATATTTCGGTAAATTGTAATTCCTCTGCAGTTAAAGGAAACACTGGAACAATCTATAGGTCAGTTAAGGAGCCAACGACTGACCCGAAATTCTGGAATGAGAAGTGCTTCTCTCTCAAGCTTATACCCTAGTGATTTGGATGGAGAAGGAGTGTCAGGTAAAATACTTAAGATGCTTGAATATACTTAAATTATGTCATATAGATGTTGTATGGAAAGAGGAAATTTAAAAAAAATGTGTAAAGATAATGGTGTGAAAAGTCATCATGGATTACTTCTAAGAAATTAAATTTAGAAATTTGTGAGACCCACATTAAGTTATACAGTTTTTTATTTGGTAAATTCTTATAGCTTTACACTATGTAGTCTTTTCTGCTGATATCCCAAGACATCTAAATGAAACATTGATTCTTTCAGTAGAGAAAATTCCTTGTCCACTGCATGACTTGTAGGTACATACAAGTTAAAGCTAAATCCAAAAGATACTGCATCATCTGAAGCTTGCTTCACAGCAGAAAGGAAAGTTAAATTTTAAAAGCAGGAGATTATGGATGTGTGGATGAAATTATATAAGACTCAGTGGAAAAGGAAAAACGGAACCAGTGTATAACCTACAGAAAAGTAGTTTTTTCTTGTACATCTCTGAAAATTCGTTGTGTTTTAGGAAAATGTGTATTTGGGAGGAGGATTCCTCCCAGAAGTAGCATTTAATGTATTTTAGTAGAAAACTCTTAAACTTTCATTTTTCTAATGTAAATGCTGTAAAGTACTGTAGTTTGAAGCTATGATAGATCCAGGTGGAGGAAAAGCTGTTGCTTGGTCAAATAAAATTTGAGGAAAAAACCCTACCTATTCATTGGAGGACACAAGAAACCTCGTTCTTACCCATCACATACATGTATTCCGGAAATATTTAAATTGAAGAAGAATCCTGGGAAGAGCTAAACAAGAAGTATGCCTGTACATTTTATGTAACTTTAGTAGCTGTTTTGTCTGTAATGTGGCCTATAAGGATATTGGCATGATGAAACACACGTTTTTCGTTAAGCAAAATGAAAAATTTCCTGTATGAAGTTAGGTCTTCCTACTTACTTTTTTTGTCTCTTATCTCATAAAGGAAACCGCCACTTCCTGCCTACTTCTCCTCTCAGGGATTATGGAAACTCACAGGGCAATAAACATCGAAGGTCTAGATCTGCAAGTGTTCGATTTGTCAATGAGGCAGATAACTTGGACCAGGTACAGAGCACTAATGGGAGTTGCTTCCCCAAACAGTCAATATGTGTTTACCAGGCTCTTCTCTTTTACATCAGATGAGGTTATTCTGATGATGCAGCTAAGAATGTTTCAGCTGTGAAGTGTGCTTTCAGTGTTAAGTGCCATTCTTTGTTAGGCAGTCACCTCTTGTATCTGCCAGTGTCATGAAGTTTCATGCAAATCTATCATTATAGAGAAAAAGATGCAGATGGTAGTGATATCAAAAGGAATGTATGAAAATAGTCTCTGTACTTTTTAGACCACGTATGAGAAAATTACGTATTCTGAGATTATTTTTTCTAACATTCACCTACATGCTGAAATCCAGTGTGGCTATAAAGGGGAATGTTCTGCTTCAGTTAATGGCACAGGGTCTTAGTACTTTTGCTGTTTACTTCATTGAAGCCTGGATTGATTTTGAGCCAGCTAGTACTCCATCTTAATTCTAGGTTTGACCTGTGAGTGAGATAATTTGACCCCGTACTTCAGGCAGATGATGTGAGGAGGAGAGGATGTGTATGGCACTGGTAACTTTCATACCCCTCAACTTGTGCCTACTTGCAGACTCTTCAGAAAAAATAAATTAAATACTTTAATGGGTAAGATTATAGGATTTGTATATCCTACAGATAGAGAGGAGATTTCAGTACCTGTTGTTGCTCTTTCAGAGTGGCTAGACCTGCTTGAGTGAATCCCTCTGTGTGGACTTATTTGCCCAGGATAAATGTATTATGACTAATGCTAAAAAAGCTGATTGTAAGGTGTTCATGTTGACTTTATTAAATCAATCTCAACTTCCAAATAATTAATTTTAAACTTAACCACAATACATTCTCTCATGTGACTTTTTGGGAAGTTTTTGAGTGCTACAGAAATTCCTAGACTTCTATTTAACCCTGATTCATTGTCCTTTCAGTCTACTTCTACCCCCATTCCTTCCTCCTCCAAGGTTAATATGGGAGATAATCTGTGGAAGAAAGTAATATTATATGGAAATCTTTTCTCCTAAGCTTCCAAAAAGCTTAGAACTCTTTTAGACTACTTCTAAATATTCTGTAAATATTTTAGAAATTTTATTTGAGGGACTTCCTGCAATGCATACAAAATTCCTAGTTTCTATTAAGTAACTATGTAAGCAAATAGCTTTTTTCCTGTTTTGATGTGAACTGCTGTTTTATTACTTATTCTTTCTTTTCAGTGAGTGAATATGGCTTTACTCAATCATTAACTATTTTGTAAGAAGAGTATAGTGTTTTAAGGAATGGTGAACGAGAAGTAGTCATTGATCATGACCATAGGTAGAAATTGGGGCAGAGATAAAGCAGTACTGCTTAACTAAAGTTGTGGATTTTTCTTCTTTCTGTAACCACTTTATTCCCATTCTGACTGCTTCTAGTTAAGGTAATTTTCCAGCTGAATGGGCCATTAACACACTTGAGTTTCTCTCCTTTCTAAGCTGATACATTCTGAAAATATGCTGTGTTTTTCAAAGTCTCTTGGGTCAGGTTAAAATTTCTAGTTAGTCACACAGGGGAGATGCTAGTGCCTGTGTCTGAATGTTGAGGGCAGTCAGCTGGGCTGAGAGAGATCCAGGTTTATGTCTTGGGCATAGAACAGCGGGATATTGTAAACCAGGGTTCTTCATAATGATGGTCCTGGCCACTGAGCTGTTGACAGCAGTAGGTTGCATTAGGATGGATTAACTGTCACTTGATCCTATGAAGGATGGATGAACTATTACTTTTTTTATTCGCTCCCTTAAAAACTTTGACTGTAAATTGGGAGCCTGCTGAATGGGGGAAACGGGAGGTTTTTACAGAGGAAAAATTTATGTGTTTTTTGTGGTGTGTGTTTTTGGTTTGTTTCAGTGTTTTCTTCTTCCCCTCCGCCATGCTCTGGGGGGGAAAAAAACCCACAACACCAAAAAACAAAACCAAAACATTTTAGTAGAGTATGTGAAGTCTTAGGCAAGGTAAAATAACTTTCCTCAGTGCTTTGGTAGTTCCTGAATAGATCCTAGTGTTCTGCTTGGTCACTTCCAATTTCATATGCCATTTTTTTATAGTAATATATATAACTGGACAGAACTTTGTTTCACTTATACTAGCATTTATTAGCAAGAAATGTGTCTCTCCTGACTTCACCCCTTCAGATCTTTCAACTTGCTTTCCATTAGGTTAAAAAGGTGGTGCAGTGTCAGGTAACCAAAATGACCATGCTCTGAACCATAGAAAAAAATACAGTTGGTAAACTTGGTTTAGCAAATAATGTACTGAAAATTAAACTTCAATGAGCAAGTGTTGTGAAGGGTTGACTGAAATAGAAGCATTCAAGCCTTATTCACTCATCTAGGCTCATCTGCAATTCATGGAATTTTGTTATTTTGTAGGTTTTTATCTGCTTTATTTTTAAAAATGTCTATATATGGGGTTTTTTTTTTAGTATCACAGAAAAAAGGGTTCCTAAGTCTTGCCTTAATTTGTGTATTTTAATTTACAGCTGCATTCTTTCCACCAGTCTCTTCGAGATCTCAGTAGTGAACAAGTTCGCCTAGGAGATGACATCAGTCGGGAGCTTGCAAGAAGAAATCGGTATAAAGAGAATGTAACTCCATGTGATGAATAGTGTGGAAAATAATTGTTATGCTTTTAAATAATTCTTGAAGTCCTTTGTTCTTTTGTATTTAAAAAAATAATTTTAGGGAAA